AGATGTGTATAAGTTAACTACTTGACCCTGAGTTCTTTTTGGGGGTGGGAGTAATTTACGGGGGCTGGGGGAGGAAGGGTAGACACGCCACTGATATAAGTACAGATCCATGCTTATATTTTACACATTTTTATAGCTTCTGGTAATATAAGTTTAATAATTAGACAAAGACCTTGCAAGTCTATCCATACACTTAAATTTGTGTAGAAAACTATTATTATTTTTATTATTCACCGGACGTGCCGTCTTGATCCAAAATAATGACGTCGGTACGACGTTTCTTTAAAAAAAATAACAATTACGATAAATATTCTCAGAATTCTAAAATTCACGAAACTCTAATTAGTATTTCATTCATATACAAATAGTAAATAGGAAGAAAGTATTATCGTGCATTATAGGAAGGTAAAACGTTCCTAACGTCAACACAATGAGAGAGGTACGTAGCGTCCCGTGTGTAAGACATATAGTTTGGCTTGGTGTAGGCCAATATTTAATTTTTTTGGGGGGTGGGGTCCGAATGCCCGACGAGCTCGGCCAGGGGGTCATTGACTTGTTCGATGGGGGCTTACGCCGCAACTGCTAGACAGACTGCTGCTGGTTGCTAGAAGCAACCAAAATCATGGCTCTTGCCCTGTGGGCAGGCCCATCCGGATCTGTACTATCGTTTACATCAATTGCCTATCATATTTATTTCATATTTTCCGTCTTTACATTAATATAAAAAAAATACCTAGGATTAATATACTCATTTACATAAACAAATTAAGTTCGCATATACTACACTAAAACGGTATCAATCAGCTTAAAAGTATCGGCAAAAAAAGAATTCACAAATTAATGACAGTACCAAACACCGGTGCTTTAGATAAGGCAGTGGCTTTTGTAATTTTAACCGTTACATCATTTGTCAACAAATTTCTAATTTTGATTGGACGTTATTGTTTTAATCCAAGCATGCATACAATAACATCCAATCAGAGTTAAGCCTCCTATTTTAAATATACCGGTTAAACAAGAGAGTTCCGTTACCTCTGGGTCCGTTTCATTATTCTCCTAGTGTGAGCAGCGGAGGAGGGTGTAAACAGAGAAAGACACAGTGGGTGAGTACCAGAGTAAACATTTAATAGGCCTGTAGGCTATTGTTAATAAATATATAATGTAGGCCTACTATTAGAAATTATTCTGGTTATGTCTTGATGAGAAGATGTTACTACCTCAGGCCTAGCTTTAACAAATGGCTGAATTAAAGCATTATAGCGACACGTTTGAGGATTTACTTTGCTATATCATAGCATTTTCTGAAACGAAACATATTTAATTTGCTATATCATAGCATTTTCTGAAACGAGAATACGCGGGTTCTACTAGCATACCGTGACTTAGTAGGCCTAGGCCTACTTAATGATTTTGCATCTTCGACGTAATCATTGTGATTCAAATAGATCAAGTGACTGTAAGCTTACATATTTTCGATAGATCTAATGGGATTGGGAAAAGGTATGCTTAAATAATACATTACTTCACTACCACACTGTACCACCTATTTATCATTTTTTCAAAGTTACTCGTGTAACTATAATGCACTAATGACAATGTTGCTCGGTTGTATTGCAGGTCTTACAAGTGGATGTCATAATACTGACGTCCATGGATACAAAACAAACATTGTTGGCGCCATTCAGTCAGTTTCTTCGCCAACACTGCAAAGAATTGTTAGGCCTTTTTTGGAATTGATTAAACGTTATTTGACTTTTGGCATCTATATTTAATCGTCCCATATCTTACTTCATTTCATCGCATTTCATTTTCATTTCATTTTAGTCGAATACAACAACTTAGGCATACCATCTACCTTATTCATTAACAGGCACTTAATCAGCACATAATTATTTCGTAGGTTTTATTTATTAAAGTTATTTTATTTAAAATATTTCATTATACTGTCATAATGTTAGCTTTTTAATCGTTATTATAGGTTTTATATTTTATTGTTGTTTTACTATTTAATATTTATTTTTTTTTTTTATTACGTTACGAATCGCGTAAATTTCGTAGACGCCACTAGTCAAATTTCAAATACAAAAACTAATGAAATTTTATATATGGGAACTGGAATCTTTCGACGTTTGCGCCTTTTTATCCTCCTTGACGGGCTGATTTGATGAACGCCATCGCGTCTTCGAGCATCCAAGCATCAAACATAGTAAGAACTAACATGTATTAAAACCAAGAAGAGACCTATATAGTACCTTTTTGGTTAAAATGTGATGTTGCATCCATTTCTACTAACACGCAGGTGTAGACATTAGGCTTTACTTTTTCAGGGCAGCGAAGCTAATAATAATTATGGTGGAGATCGTGTTGATACTCGCAATACTTTATAGGAATTTTGGCTCGATTGCATATTGGAAACAAAGTTTAATGATTATCATATCATATAGAATTGCGATGATAATATAGGTCAACCATGGATTCCATGGCTAAACTTCAGTAGGCATTCTAATCTCCATGCTAGGCCACTGTCACTAGATGCTGGTAATCTGACAACATTAGATCATATATCCAGCAACATTTTGACAACATCAATTTATCATATTAAACAGCATCAACTAGACTATTTATGAATGTATGTATAACTAACACTTAGGCCGATATAAAACAGTTGATTATATTGTTATTGTTATTATGTTGATTATATGCAAATGTGACGGAACCACAGGTAAGTTACTAACGCAGCAAGACATCGCCTCGAGCATCCAAGCATCAAACCAAGTAAGTCAACTAATCACTATAGGATTGTTTGTGTAGAAAAAACAATCGTACTAATATCGTACCCAATGCCCATCTTGTAAACCACTTTATATAAAATCGTAGTGTTTTTATTTATTTTTTTATTCGTGCCGATAGTGGGTTAGGTCAGTATTTGATAATGGTAGCAGGTGCTGCCTCAATGCGTCTTCAATTGTATGCCTATGAAATTGTTGCAATAAATCATTACAAACAATTGTGTCTTTGTCTCTTTTTGTCTGTCTATTTTTTAATCACATCATGATAATAAGCCCCATACCAAACATTGTATCCCTATGAATTTGATTCAATAAATTGGTACATTAGAACATGCGTGTATGACTCGTTTATTTAACATCTTCAGAAGTGTTTTTGTCTGAGTCTGTTATGAATTGTAATTTTGTAAATGTAAAACAATAGTAAATGGAATTAATTTACTATTGTTAAATTTCAGTGTATGTAAATCCAAGATGTATAATAACTAATAGCATGTCTTTTATTTCAGAAATATTAATTTGTTGTCCACAGACAGTAGCAAGGCGACGAATACCTTGTGCATCACTGGTCTTCGTCGCCTATGCATGTGTGCGGAATAAATAAATATATTCGTTCAATCCTTATTTTCTAACTTTGAAGTTCATTTCATTTCAGAAAAAAAAATCTGGTGATTTTGATAATGATGCTTGAGGAAATATGCTAATATACTGATTGGATGGTGGTACTTCTGCCTATTACTAATTGTCGACGTGGAATGAGAAAAAAAAATATTAATGATGATTGTGATGATGACGGTAGCAATGAATATTTAATAGTGACGATTAATACAGATTTTAAAGTTGTGGTTAATAGATTGAGTTTCTGTGGGTTGTGATTTAAGCTGACTTTGTTATTAAAATATACTATAATGACAAATGATGGTGATGAATGACAGTGATGACGATTGACGATAATAAAATGGTGTGTTAAAACTTGCAAAGGTAAGTTGTGAGAAAATATTAGTTTGAAGTCTGAAACTTTCCAAGGCGACATTGTGGGGTTGTGAAATGACGTGATGTGAAACTAGGGCTATAATCACAGGCCATATCTATACATATATTGTGTTTTCATTTTAGAAATAGAAAAAAACACATATTTTGATGATGCATGTGAATTTCCCAATAATCAAATCAATTTGATATTTGAAGTAGTGCCTCTTCTGATGGAGAACTGATAGACATAAGTGCTCATGGGGACGATGATAACGATGATGAGGACAACGAGGATGATGTAATGATGGCGATATAGATGATACAGTGACAACAATGGTGATGATGAAATGGTAGACCTGTGCTTGAAAACTAGGTAAGTTTCAATACATTGGGGCTTGTGAAATAATGTGAAATTAACCTATAGTAATGCATGGATGGTTAGCTTACTTGCTGTGACTGCTATATAGTTGAAATTACGTCATTACGTCAGCGGATCCAGGATATTTTGGCCCGTGTGGGAGCAAGAGTGGCGATTAAAGACCATTTCCATCACAACTCAGTAATCCCTGCAACATTAGTTTTGAAACTTTTAGCATCTTGTATTTTTTAAAATTTAAGCAATTTCTCTTTATGCAACATGTGTTTTTTAATTATATTTTCTATATTTTTCTAGTAATATTGGTGTATTTAAGAACCATATCTCATAGCATCTATTGAGGAGAATGTTCCCTTACCAATTCTGTGGGTCCAGGGCCATATTAATCTAAATTTCAATTTAGAAACTTGATTACGACCTTTAGATGTCCAGGGAGTGTTGGATTTATATGGTATAAAACAACATGATTCATGTTAACATGAGTTATCAATTATTTACGTAGTAGTCGATACGCAAGGCATTAAATGCTTGTGGACTGTTCCGACCTGACTGGGAATGTAGTGTGATCGATTTAAAAACAAGGAAATATGTGGACGTCGATGGTTACTAATGATGGTATGGTAATGGACGGTTATGATATTAATAACGAACGTTGATGATGCTAAGGTGAGTTTCAGTGGCTTTTTTAAATTGCCCGTTTGATTATGCATTCTGTTGCAAATGACATGATGGGGCTACAACAGCGGCGTATCAAACTTTACCCGAAAATAGTTAACCAGCAGCTATCGCCACATACGTTAATCGAGTCCTTCCACATCACCTTCGGTTCCCCTTCCCCCAGCCATTTGAATACCCTAGACATGCCTCCGGGCTGCTCTTGCATTGTTAATAGAACAAAGTGTATAGTGATGTCTATTGCTGTAATAATTTTGCGAATTATTTACTTAATTATTTGTATAGTTCACAATTGGTTTACTAGATCTGTCCTTCCATTTTAGAAATATTAATTTTGTTTAAAAGCTCAGTCTGCAGTTATCAATGCAACAGATACCAGTGTATGGACAAATCACACGTATATTTTTCCGCAAACTTGATAGCTTGGACATAGTTTATTGTTAAGCTTTGTCTACACTATTATTTCATAAAGAAAAGCGTCACAAAAAATGTGACGTTCAACTTTGTTTAAACAATTTGAAATGTGAGATATATGACGTCATCATACCCACATATGTGCAAATCATTTTTGTCAAATAATTTGATAGCTTAGGAGATTCTATTAATTTTCTAATTTTGTTTTTGCCATTTTCTTAGTCTTTGTATTACCGGTTTTGTTTTCTTTATCATTCTTCATGATTTTTTTTCCTGGGTATCTTGTTTGTACCTTTATGAATTGTCACCTGTATGCATGTGTGCAAAATAAATAAGTATATTCCATGTGTTTGGCTACTCCTTAGGATGCCCATTAAATACATATTTTATAACATTTAATATTGTTTTATTTCAGAAAGATACCTGGTGATTTTGATAATGGTGCTTGTGGATATATGCTATGATTGTCTGGTGGTTCTTCTGCGAATGGATACTTTATCGACTTGAATTGAAAACAAAATTAGCAGTGACGATGATGTTGGTGGTGATGATGGTGATTGTGATGATGATGGTGTTAGCGATATATACTATGTAGACCTTTTCATATCGACATGAAAGGAATATTGAACGAATAAGATGGTATAATTCATGATAACGAGAATGTTGTTGCTGATAAAGATGGTGTTAAACAATAACGACGATGATAATTTGACGGTACTTGATTACTAGTATTAGACTCTTGAAGCTTTACTTTTGCTTATCCTCCTATCTTGGATCCAAATATGGACTGCAAAGTTTGGGTGGTTCCTGAGAGCTTGTGAGTTGTGATTTGAGTTGATTTAAAGACTTTGCTATTAATTACAACACAATAAAATGACAGATGACGGTGATGATTAAAAAAAAGCGATGATGATTAACCGAAAACGAAATGATGTAAATGAACTTGCAAATGTATAAATTTTCAGATGATGTTTGAATGCCTGAAAGTTGAGCTTGTTTGAATTGTGAAATGACAATGGACTATTGGGCTATGCATAGGTCTATAAATTTTACAACACAAAATTTTGTTTTCATTTCATAAAAGAAATAATAATAGTAATGAATTGCTTCAACGTGTTTCTTTTGATGGTGAACATCGAGGACGATGAAGATCATAACGAATATGACCTTATATTGATGGCGATATAATGATCTTGGTGACGATGAAATGGTAGACCAGCACGCTTGCAAAGGTAAGTTTGAATGCCTGAGGCTTGTGAAATGTGAAATCAACCTTGATACACTATTGATTAACGTATTTAATGTGACTACTGTGTAGATGAAATTCTGTCGATAACTGAGAACCTGGCATTAAATTTTACCAGAGTTAGAGGGGCTAGTGAGTTTGTTGAAAACTATTACCAATTCGGGGGTCCAGGAGTCATTTCAGTCTAAATGATTTGTTTGTTTGTCCTGAGGGTGTGGGAGGCGGAGCAGGCACCCTTTTTGCAATTGTCAATTGTTTTCATCAGGTTTACGCAGTACATATTATTTGTAAACACAGTGCAACAGAAGTGGTTGATATGCAACTCCTTGAATTCTTGTGAACTGCCGCCGACTTCAACATACTGAAACTGTATGCGATCGATTTAAAAGGAATCTACTGGTGGACATGGTGGATTAAATGTTGATTCTACTAAAGGTTGGTTTTAATGTTGCTTTCTTGAAATTATACTACCAAAAAATTGGGTTATTATATCTACACGGGTGTTTTTCATCCTAATGAACGCAAATCATGTTTAACATAAATCATTCTTTTCCAAATAACGATCTGCTGAATATGTTTATTATATTTTCGCAGGAATTCGGAGCTGTGATCAAGCTAATTCCAGCACTGACCCAGGAAGCAAATTTTGTTTAGTTTATCAGCAGAATAACATCCGTTCAGATTGAATGAGCCAATCTGATCGACTTAATTTAGAGATGCAGCTGAGTATTTTTGCAAATGTTACAACGTACAATTACCGTACATATTATGGTGAAGACTATTTGTCATTGCAGTTGGTAATATTAAATATAGGCTATATAATAATAATAATAATAATAATAATAATAATAATAGTAATAGTAATAGTAATAGTAATAGTAATAGTAATAATAATAGTAATAATAATAGTAATAATAATAATAATAGTAATAATAATAATAATAATAATAATAATAATAATAATAATAATAATAATAATAATAATAATAAATAATAATAATAATAACAAGAACCGTACGAATACAGTATTCATCAATACAATTACTTGTTTGTTTGTATATTTGTCAACCTCCATGTATTTGTTTGTTTCGTACATTACTGTTTGATATCACTTTCATCATTTCATTTCGTCCTAACCTAGTCCACCCTCTCTCATATCCATCTTAATTTGGCCTATTAGATAGTTGCAGTTAGTCAGGTTAGCTTGATAGATAGGTCGTAGTTTAAGGTGTAGAGTTAGTATTAGCTAGGTTAAATAGGTCGTAGTTTAAGATGTAGAGTTAGTATTAGCTAGGTTAAAAAAAAGTAGATTTCCTTCCTAAATGAGAGAGGAATGGGCAATACATTAACCGCCTTCATTAACATCAATTCAATGTTTATCATGTTATTATTGTATTGTGTTCGTCCAATCAGATGTGTTATAAAAATACTATTCATTAAAAATTACAACTTATAAAATAAAGACACAAATAATTATAAATTTAAAAGTATAACAATTGCAATGACATGTGCTAAAATAATTTCTTGTGATAAATTAACTGTTATCATTTGCTATATACCGGTATTCAGTTGTGATAATTGTGATGTTGATGCAAAAAAAATTATTAGTAAGGCCGATATTATGCTTTATTGTATCCTGTATATTTTTCGCACCGCATTATGAGCATATATTAAACATTGGATGTTAAACCTATAACTAAAATTTAATTTAATTTTACCTATACCTAAAATTAAGTTTTATGTGTAATATTGTTTAGTAATGTTTAATATTCTTTGTATGTACTGTAGGCCTACATCTTATGACTTGAATTCATTTGGTGCTAATAGTTTTATATCCTGGTTATCATTTATTTAGTACTGTTCTTTTCTGACAATAAAAATCTTGAATCTTGAATCTATTATTATAAATACTTGTTTGATGAGAGTTTGACGTGAAGAGAGGGTGAGAGGTCAGGTATACAAAAAATGAAGAAAAATGGTTAGTTTGGCAAGGAATTAAAAATGTAAAGTGATTCTGGACTACATATGCAGTACATACACAGTGGGACAACCTTTAATTAAGGGGAACAACACAATCAAAGTAGATTGTGTTAGTTCGTGAAATCACAGTAGCGCGTCAAAACGAGCGCGTATTGGTTGTCAAGCAATTTTGTATTCTTTACCACACAAAAAGTCCTTAACGACAACAGCGCGTATTTTGACGCGCTTTTTTGATTTCACGATTTGTCTGCTCTTGAAGGTGTCCCTTTAAGGCTTTTACTGGGATAGAATACTTTCAATAAATAGTAATCCAATATATAAATACATAGTTGCATACTTTTCGGATAATATATTATTACATCTGGAAGGAAAACAATATTACTCTATTAACAAACCAACAATCATTAAAATAATAACGTACATGTCAATAATGTATACAATATACATCTACCACTACGAGAGCAAAGTTGACGTGGCCGGACGTCCCTCAAAATGTTTCGAAAGTGGTCCAGGGGTTGCAGCTCACTCCAACGGAAGCCCTGGCCAACTGCCCCTTCCCTCACTAGAGCCAACCCTTCCAACGAAGTAACGTTTTTGCACTGGTTTAAAATACCCTAGAATCAAAGAGCAATCCTAACAGTACTGTATTCTGTTTCAATGGCATATGTAAACGTGAATAAGTGTATACAGATACAGTGTGAACTCCTAAAATCTTGTGTACTGCGCTCAAGATTTGTAGAATCGGCTTCAAACAAAATAATTAAATGCAAAGACCAAATGAAAATACACATAAGGAAACAAAGAACGATTTAAACTAATATAGACGTCCTTCTGCTGAATTCTGGAATCTGTTTTGCATGTTTGATGTTTTCATGTAAACTTTTTTTTTCAACATAGAATCCCTTGAATATGATCAATTTATGGGGCCTACACAGACTGAAATAATACATTAATTTAGTTAGTCTTATAGAGGTAGGGAATGGCCGTATTCACAGAAAGGAAAACAATAAAATGGCCTATACTGTACTTAGTCTACGAATTTTCCAATTCTAATCCCATGATGAACAAATTGTTACTGTAAGAGACAATTTGTAAATTAAAGTTTAAAAAACCTTCACAACATGACTGCAGAAATTAAGATTTATTGCTTTTTATTGTGAGATAGTGACGATTACCTTTACCTCGGAAAAAAAGATCTGCTTGAAGGAGGAAACAATCGAAGCGATGAACACACCTAGCCTTAGCTAAGTTCGACAAACTAAAGTACATCCTTAAAGACCTGGAGCTACCAATGTGTCTAAGAAGACAACTATTAAACAAATGTATTATCCCAGTATTTACATATGGGTGTGAAACATGTTCTCTCTCTCCCTCTCCCTCTCTCTCCCGAGAAATTATTGTGCGTCACGGTAAGGCGAATGGAAAGAAAAGTGATTGTTGTTTCATGGGAAGATAAGAACAAGAAAACCGATGGACACATAAAGCAACCGTCTGGACCTTAATTATAGATTTTTAAAAAATATTTCATACAGAAAAATATACATAATAGGCCTAAATACGATCATTGAAATTATTATAGTTATGGTCTATATACTAATGGTACTATTGTCTGGTGTATAATTCGGACCGAAATCGCCAGGCTTTTGTTAAAATTAAAAGGCCTTTTGTCTATATTTTCAATTTAACCAAAAACTAAGTTATCGGGATATAAATTATTTAATGAATTACTGTATCATCAATGGAACCATAGTAAAATTAGTGCAATGTACGGGGTATTAAATCATTATCATACAATTGAATTTGTGTTCAATTACTTACGAGTGAGTCTACTGCTGCTTAATAATTCCAAGGCAAAATAGTTCGAACGGAAAGTGTTTTTTTTTTCATTCTCGAGAGAGGGCGGAATTTTAGAACAACAATATGACCTCTGACATGCTAATAATTAAACTGCTTCGAATGTTTAGATCTAATAATGATGATGTCTGTTTTATAAAGTAAATTAAAACCATAGTAAAACAAACAACTTATTGAATTTTGGTATCAGACACACATATATATATATATATATATTCATCAAGAAACGGCTTATAATCTAGAAAGGTTTTGTAAGTGTTTAATAGAATTTTATGTATTAGTTTTCCGATTAGAAATGAGACAAGCCTTGTCACAAGGCTAGGCTAGGCCTATTCAGTATTATAGACTCTAGAGGGCTGGGCTAGGGCCTAGGCGTCTCTGTCTGTGTGGGCTAGCCGACACAGCTTGGGACTGGGAGAGCCATGATGGTGGTATATAGGCCTAGCCTAACCATAAAGGTTAGAAACTTATTCCAATAAGCCAGTTTCCTGGTCACCAGCAGTGCTGAAATGTTGTAGTGTATTTGTGTAGGCCTAGGCCCTTCCTACTAGGCCTAGGCCTATTCTATTCATCTAAAATTAAATAAAAGGCCAGGGCCATACTCAGACTGTAAATTGCACAGATAATATCTCAAAAACCAGCTTAAATTAGGGCCTAGCATGGAAAGTAGATGTGTAGAATCATAATTGCTACATTAATACATTGTTTATATAATAATATTTAAATAATAATTTTGGACAAACTTGCTCTAAATCGGCCCTTATTTTCCAAAATGCATGGATGCATTTCTTGCGTAAATTTTTGCGCTGAGAATATATTCCATGCTCAGGCCTTGCTATCTATACAGTCTGGGCCTAGCTGGCGAAATTTCATGTCACATTATGAATTACTGGCGGCCTGGCTAATTAATACTGGTACTTATTATAATTATGGAAAAGGAAATGGATATGTTCTGACATGTCATAGTGCATTAAACATAGCGACAGTGAAGGTTAAGGCTAGGGTCAAGCCAGCTCAACAAATCACATGAGGAGTCTTATGATTGCACTTGCTATCTTAAAGCACTGTGGCATGTTAGAACAATATATTTCCTACTATATTTTAGAAAGGTCTGTACAAATCATGCAAATTACATTTTTTACACAAAGTTATGTTTTTATTTTTATGTAGACTTAAAAATACCTTAAAAATGGATGAAATCCTTAGAGGATTGATGGCATCAAATCATAAAACAATTCTAAAAAAAACATTAATTACAAAGCTTTCAACCAACCCAAGTAAGATTGACACAGAAGAATTGACAAGCATTTATAAAACAGCTATGGCTTGGATTGTGTATAGTGATTCAGAATTTGAAGAGGAAATGGGGACAGTCGTCATAAGAGCATGGAGCAAGCAAAACCAGACTGTCTTCAGGGAATTCTTTTTGCAGTACTGTTATACTATTGACTTAGATCACTTTGTTGGTATCGATAAAACTATCAATTTCATACATGTATAGCGACACTGAAGGTTAAGGCTAGGGTCAAGCCAGCTCAACAAATCGCATGAGGAGTCTTATGATCGCACTTGCTATCTTAAAGCACTGTGGAATGTTAGAACAATATATTTCCTACTATATTTTAGAAAGGTCTGTACAAATCATGCAAATTACATTTTTTACACAAAGTTATGTTTTTCTTTTTATGTAGACTTAAAATACCTTAAAAATGGATGAAATCCTTAGAGGATTGATGGCATCAAATCATAAAACAATTCTAAAAAAAACATTAATTACAAAGCTTTCAACCAACCCAAGTAAGATTGACACAGAAGAATTGACAAGCATTTATAAAACAGCTATGGCTTGGATTGTGTATAGTGATTCAGAATTTGAAGAGGAAATGGGGACAGTCGTCATAAGAGCATGGAGCAAGCAAAACCAGACTGTCTTCAGGGAATTCTTTTTGCAGTACTGTTATACTATTGACTTAGATCACTTTGTTGGTATCGATAAAACTATCAACTTCATACATGTATGCTTACGAGCTATGGACGATAGACGACCATTTTATGGGATTGTACAAAATAATGCGATCGCTCTGGCAAGAGATAAAGCACCGTTGTCGTCGCTTGCTGCTTTAAGTCGTCTTCTCGTTGATATACCAGAATGCATCCCAAAAGCGGACAAAATGAAAGGTTTATGTATCATGCTGATTAAATGCGTGAATGCTGAAAGTATTTCACGCTCAGACGTTAACAAGCAGAAGGATGTGGAGGCAATCAGCGCCCTTCTTCACTACATCTGGCACAATAACATCACAATAGCTGTGATCCCATCTCTGAAGGAGACATTCCGTACGATCTCTTCAGTGGATCTTAAAGATCCTGAACCATCAATTGCCATTGGTGCTCTTGTACAGAGAGTTCCTGTGTCAATCATCAAAAAAATAACCAAGGATGCAGCTTTTGACCAGGCTATACCAGACTTAAACATGACTGCGGCATTAACACGTATGATGGAATGGCTGGCGTGGCCAGGTGTCAAGAACATCCACTTATGGATCAACGCATTTCTGAAGAATTTAGCGGCAGCAAAAAAGTACTCAATCTTGATTCAAGTAACTTGTGAATCAATTATACAGGTGTGTATGCCATGCAAGTGGCTATTCTAAAGCATGTGATGTGACATGCTTCAATATGGTCATGATGACATCACATGACCATATATATGCACATCATGACCATATATGGGCGTAAAACATTCCCCTAGACAGAGCTTTACATAATTTTTGCGAAAAATGAGAATGCAGAACTAAAACCCTATTCTAATGAAAACTTAATGGTCATTTTTCGTATTTTAACCCATTTTGTCGGCACCATCCAGCCTACGCCTATGTGCACAATGTTGCAGCCACAGATGACCGTTCTTCTGATGAATTTCCGTGGCAAATGTGCTCTGAAGAGTCGAACATGCTGTGAGCATTTCATCGGATACTGGCACTGACCATATAATCCTATAGATTTATTAAAATAAATAATAAATAGTTTTAATAATTTGATATGTTTTGTTGGCTGAATGAATGTTGAATTGATTGATTGATATGTATTTTAAATGCCAGTCTTCCTTATATTTTACTAATTGTAGGTATTTGAAAAACTGAAGTATGCCGATGTAAGAGAAAGTACATTGGCTGTTCTACGCCACATGTTACTAAGCTTCCAGCACTTACCGGTTGCATTTCACAAGGTAAACATGCTAGTTCTTTGTCTTAACTTTACTACCAGGCAGTTGCCTGTAAGGTTTCCATACGATTGCTACATGCTATCACCAACAGCTTTTGCTGATGCTGATTGCTTGGTCGAATCATGGAGTGTGTATCAGCGTCTGCTACGCAGTACAATGATTGCACTGACAACACAGTAGCAGGAGTGTAGCGATTTTATGAAAACCAGGCTTTAAGCTGAGTAGGATGCCAATATATTTACTTCAAAATACAATAGCCTACATCTAGTCTGTGCGCGTACAGTACCATCTACTGTAGTGGAATGTATTCTGACACATGTCATTACTCTACTATTGTAGCATGCTCATATTAGACATGCTGAAGTTCATATTTACATTGCAAAGTGTTATGAGAAAATGCTTTTACCAATTACCCTTATATGGACAGTGGCGGCTCTAGGATATAATTTATTGGGGTGGGGAGCTAACTATTTATGGGTGTAACTATAGCGCACAGCATTATCTGAGGGCTGAAGTCCCGAGCCATGGGTGGGTATGGGAGGAGGTGTCCCCTTCCCCCAAAACAAGGTTTTTTTTTTTTTAAATTGGGGCTTCTAGATTGCCAAATTGCTGGGATGGGAAAACTAGGCCTATTTTTTTTTTTTTTTTGGTCCGACTGCCTGACGAGCATTGGCCAATGTGGGGGTGGGGGGCTTGACTAGACCGATTGGTGTTTAAGCCCCCCTGCTGGCGCCGCCACTTTATATGGATATGAAATTACATCATTATGACAGGCATTTTGTAATAGTGTGAACTGTGAAATTTACAGATACATTTGCTGTAACACATATAATATGGGGCTTGCCATGGGGCAATACCAGCATCAGTGACATTACTTTTTAATATTCATATTTTCCTGGTTATAAGCCTTAAAATGATGGGTCATAGGTCATTTACAGGAATTGACTTACTATTTTTAAAGTTATGAGTAAAAGTGTTACAGCTTCTCTGTACTAAAGTATACAATACTGCCAAATTAATTAGTTTACCATTTAACGACAATATATTGGTTTTGGGATGGTAAGCTTCATATCATAATTATGTTTTCTAGTTTGGTAAAGATCTTTTGTTAATGTTTTACTAGATCGTTGGTCTTGTACCGGATCTGGTGAAGGCATGGAGAGAGGAAGGCATGGATGAGCATCATGAGCATCTGAAACAGTTAGCAGAGTTGATGTATTGTTTAATGTATCAGCATGCTGGCTACCCTGAGCTGTATCAACCACTCTTAGATGTGTTTCAGGTACTTAAAATAATAACATTCTCAATGAATGCTTTCTGGAGGGATCCTGCCTAAACTATGTACAACCATTAGCCCCTCTGGTTCAATTTCATCGCTGATCATCTTGTATTTCAACTGGAGGGATGAAATGCAAGTTAAAATAGCACATAAGCTGTCAGAAGAGATGTTTAAACCATTGGTTCCAAACCACCACCAGAAGACCCGACTGAAAATTAAGTGTACACACTTTGGGGTATTTTTGGTGTTTTTTACGCTGAAGAAATGCAGTCACTCACAATCTGTTGAGTAAGCACACCCAGATATATTATATTACATAAAGAATTAACTCAATTTTATCTGATTCTACTCATAAAGCCGGTTACTCACTGCATGCGACGGTGATGTGACGAAAAACGCATGTGAAGACGCGGACCCAACGGATCGTCTTTTTAATGAGGATCCATTCAGATTGCCACTGACAATTAGCAGACGGCGTTGCGTCGTCTATCGCTCGGCAGAAGCAAATGTGGAAAATTTCAAAAAGTTATGAAGATATTTCTCCCTACCATGTTTACATTCAAGAAATATGTACTGTACTTTATTTGGTTTTTCACAGAATATACCTCAGTCTTCAGAGGACTCAATGAAACAGATGCTGGACAAGAGTGCATGGACATCAAAAGCAACCTACAGCAACGACAGTGAGCTGTCCGCTGCAAAGTCTGACACCGGCAAGACGGGTCTCGTAAATCTTGGGAATACTTGCTACTTGAACAGTATTGTACAAGCCCTCTACATGACTGATGGGTAAGAAATAAACAAATTAATAATATATGCCACAGGTGGTGGCCAAAGTATGGGGAAAGTGGTGGAACAAAGTCCAGACATCTCTGTTGAAGTTGATAAATGCATAAACAGAAAAAGAGTACAACATTCTTTCTCGTTTCAGTTCCTCAGGGGCCTAAATTGGAATTAATAGGAATCTGACATCATCTGTTATACATTTATAGTGACAATTGGTTTTGTTGGTCTACTTATTTAATTCATTCTCCAAAATGGCTTTATAGACCATTTTTATCCATTACAACTAAATGTAAAATGCATTACCTGAAATTTTGGACAAACTATAAATCAAAAATGTTGATTTTTTGTCACATGCATCAATTTTGTTGTCTTTTTTATACTTATTGATAGGTTTTCAGATGATATATTATATGAAGAAACACTGGCATCACAAAAAATAAGAACTGAATTAAGAAAATTATTCGCATTTCTGAAGCATTCTAATGTAAGTAGTATATATTGTATTACCATCAAAATGATATTCAGTCAAAAAAGACTGCTACCTGACTGCATTCGCATTTCTGAAGCATTCTAATGTAAGTAGTATATATTGTATTACCATCAAAATGATATTCAGTCAAAAAAGACTGCTACCTGACTGCACTCTAGATCAAAGCAATACCAACCTTAATCCCAACACAAACAACAACGCTAATCAGCACATCACTGAAGCTTTTTCCACAATATCAAATTTTCTTTGATAAAAAAACTGTTGTATGTCCATATATAGTCATAATGTCCCTATATATGGTCCTGTGTGATGTCAGAACATTTGTCCATTCTGAAGAAGGTTTTACTATAACCAGTGTGAATGCTTGAATAGCATAAGATAAAGCTCTGTCCACACTATCAAGTCTATTTCGTGAATACTTACCTGGATAACCGACTAATTGCCATTGTTCCCAAAACGGAACACCCCTTCGAAAATAATGGAACAGTCCGACCCAAGGCGCCACGTACGAACCGTCTCCCTAACAAACGTCCTCATCCCACTTTCGGTGTAGGACTCCTTGGCGTACCTGGAGTGCGTCCCAGAGAACCCAATATGCTCTACACTCTGGTTCAACAGCATCCCATGCCGGTCTACTACCGCCCGATTCCTTAGCTTCTATCACCCACTGCATTGTCTTGTCCTCTAGTTAGCTAACTCTAATCGCCTCGAGAGAAATTTCGGATTCCAGTGTAGTTACTCGTACGGTAAACGTATCGGCCGGTTCACTACTAGGTTCGACTTGATCTGTACCTGTCTCTTATACACATCTAGATGTGTATAAGAGACAGCTGACGCCGTGTGTGCCTGGCTTTAGATGCTGTTACGTCCTGCAGATACAGTCTGTTAGAAATTTTTTCATTATTTTTCCTGTTTTCTTCCCTAGAGGGCAGCATTTGAACCGAAGATGTTTGTTGAAGTTGCTAGGCCTCCGTGGTTCACACTGAGAGCTCAACAGGACTGTTCAGAACTATTAAAGTACCTACTTGATCGCCTTGATGAGGAGGATAAAACTAGGCCTGGAGTTCCAAAAAGTAATGGAACTGGTAGCACAGGCTTAAACTCTAAGAAAAATGGACTAAGTGTTGGGACGAAAACAAAATCTACGAATATGAAAACACAGTCAGTCACAGAAAAATTCTTTTGCGGAGAATCTTTGACAAAAATCCGTTGTTTAAATTGTAATCATGAATCCGTGCGGACAGAGATATTTTACGACCTTCCGTTGGCATTCCCAGATTCGGGAGACAGAAAGAGCATGCTGGGGGGAGATCCCAACTCTGCTCGTAAACCAAGTAGTCACAGTCCAGAAACAGAAGGTGCTGAGGGCAGTCCATCCTCAAGCTCAAATGCTGTGCCAAAGCTTGTTGGCCCGATTAATTGGCCACCGGATAAGTTTACACCGAGTGCAATAAGGGAAATGGCGGTAGATGAAGCAACACGAATAGTACCAACCACACGGCATGAATCAGACGAAAATAAAGAAGTTCATATCGAAGACATGCTTGAGCATTATATATCGCCGGAGGTAATGGAGGGAGATAACAAATACAACTGCGAAAACTGTCTAAAATTACAGAATGCTGAAAAAACTCTTGAGATAACACGCTCACCGCAAGTTCTGATTCTAACTCTGATGCGGTTCGCATACGATGTTAAAACGCGTGTTCGGCGGAAGATACTTACAGATGTGAAATATCCTCAGGTCTTAGAACTACCTTTGAAACATGTAAAGGATGGTAAAAAACGACCTGCAGATTCAGACCTATCAGAAAGCTCTGATGCTCCCGATAACAAACGTAGCAGGCAGAATACTAAATGTGGAACAACAGAAACACCGCAGCCATCACAGAAATACACATTATCAGCTGTTGTTTTCCATTCAGGTTCTTCATCAGAAAGCGGTCATTACTATTGTTACGCAAGAGAATTGAAAGGAGGGGTTGAAGGAAATTGGAACAGTTTTAATGATTGTCATGTAACGCATTCAAGCTACGAGAATTTCAGTAGAGTCATGAAGAACTTCAACAGAGATTCTGCATACGTTCTTTTTTATAAACGGAACGATAACACAGCGGATGGGGCTATGGGTACACTGCCGCATGTACGAGTTTTACCAAATGATCTTAAGGATATTGTTGCTGCAGATAACATGAAATTTTTAAAGGTAATGTGTGAGCATGATGTTTAATGTACAACATGCATACAACCTGTAGAATGTTTTAGCGGAGTGGGAATGGTTTGGTTTCCCAACTTCGAGCTCGGGGTTTCAATCCCTTGCTGTACCTTTTGCTTGTGTCCTTGAGCAAGGCACTTTATCTGCATTGCTTCTCTCTACCCAGGAGTATAAGTGGGTACCAGGTGGGGTTGCATGCTCTTGCGCTGATTACCTGCAGCAACATTTAAAGCATGTGAACCCAATTACCATGGAAAAAGTGCTTTGTATCTGCAAAGAAATGGCGCTATGTAAGTAATATAAATAATAATAAATAGATAACCTCAACAAAAATGTCCATTTTAACCCAGAAGTTTAATGTAGAAAGCAATGAATGAGATTGTAATACAGTTATTTCAAGACATATAGATGTTTGTGGAAAGATATTGTTTTTGTGTTATGTGATGATCGATATTTGGTGGGAAAAAAAACAGATGTAATACTCAACCATTTATTAGTGCGGTCAGATGTATCATGTTTGTTTCAATAGGACGTCTGTTCCATATAATTTTGAAATATATTGGGTACAGAACAACTGACCTGTACACAGATATAATTGCACAATGCTGGACACACCATTTGCGCACATTCTAATTATTGCTGTTATTATCAATATTATCCCTATCACTTCATAAACATTATTTGAACAATGTTCTTGAAAGTAATTTTTTATATATTTCTTTTTTGGACAGGAGCAAGAAGCAGCTGCAAAAAGGACACAGAAGCGAGTGAGCTACAGTACCGAGAATATCAGTTACCACCGACCAGAAGATTCAGATGATAAGGACGGTCCTTCCCCAGGCTGTGGTGGAGGAGGGGGCTTCAACACGCCCATCAATAGATTTGTTTGTTGATGTTGGTTTGATTGTGCTACCGATAGGGCAAGTCTAGATATTTTTTTTTGTGATACTATATGCTACTAATAAATATTACTTTGATATTGTCTAAAATATTGTAATATTAAGTGTTAGAGCTGCTAACCTTAAGAATGTCCACAGTATATTTTGGCAGCATCATTATCAAAGAGTATAGAACTATAAGAGGTCTGACTAAGGGTTTTGTTGAAACGCAATCTTATCTCAAAAAGTACTACCACAAACTAGAGGGCGTCCTTCAAAAGAGCATAAAAAGCATTCACATCGAACGTGTGCTGCGTCTATAGAACGCATGTACAATTTTCAAACTCTATTTGAAATATAATAGGGTGCCCCCATTCTTGTGGTAGTCTTTGTCAAAATCTTATAATAACAAGGTGTTCTCCGCGATTTCTGTGTGCAAATTCTGTAATAACGCAGTGTAGGACGCCCTCCTGCAATTCCAGTTACTTTTGAACTTTGACATCTATGATCTCAGTGCATATTATGGAACAACTACCATAGTAACAACTAGGATGCCCTCTTTCAATTACAATTACTTTCTATTGTTTTCTGTGTGGATTGGACGCTTCTCTTTGTTACACGCAAACCGCGGAGAACACTATATTGTTATAAGATCTTTGGTCAAGGCAGTCGGACATCTTACAATTCTGTACTTTGTTCATGCTTGATAAAGCACAGGATTGATTGTGCGCCTTAAATCCGCTGCATGCTATCAGCGTCCTAACATGTTGGCAACAGTGGCGTAATTTTGGAAAGGGGGCAGATGGGTGGGGGGGAAGCTCAGTGATCAGTTGAGGGGCGCTAATTCGCAAAATACAGTATGGTGATTTAGGCGATTTTTAACAACTTCACCATGATTTTCTTTTGGGGAGGGGGGCCACTGGGTGGAGCGAGTAATTTTTTGGGGGGGGGGCATCCGCCCCCATGCCCTCCCTTAGATACGCCACTGGTTGGCAATGCTGTTTGGTAAGCTTTCCTGATTTTGATGTTTGAGACAGATTGTAGCGACAGTTTCACTGTAGCAATTTTATGGAAACCAGGCTTTTATCTAGACCCACTACAGTATATTTTATATTTATAACAATAATGTATTTTGGTAATTTATTAATGACATCTTTTTAACATTTACTGTACGTTTTGAGCTACTAAATTTCAATACTCAATTCAAGGTATTACATGTTTTAATAACTGGGCATTGTTGGTTAAATACAACCAAACAGGTAATATTTATTTTGTCAATGTATCAACTGAAAGTGTAACATAAATATAAACAATTAGTTTTATCACTAATAAGTTTTTTGTGTGTAGCATCTAGAAAGAATTTGTACTGTATTAAATGAAGGTGTTTACAATGGGCTGTCTGTCTCAAATATGTATCAGTGTTGTAACAAGTCACTTTGTGGTTGATTTGTGAGATTTTCATTGCATTGTGGTAGGTAACCAAGTCTTATCAATGATAATACTCTATAAAATACATAAAAATAAAAAGTAGTTATTATCGTGATGATACTAATATAATTGAGTTTCCTGTAAATTCAAGTTTATATACAGATTAAAGTAAATCTTGTGTTTTGCAGCAGTGATATCTTGGACTATACATTTTTTTAATCAAGTGTTGAGTTGTTGGGTGACCAGCGCGAGAGCATTCAAGTGCATTTATAACCGGGTTAGTCCAGACCTTGCCTCTTTGTTTCCCTGTCACTTTGTTGTTCTGTTGGTTTCCTTAGCTTCGGGTACTGGACAAAGGTTATTTTGGACCTCTTTCCACCTCATTCTTAAAATGTAGGCCCCTGCAGGAGCGTGCATCTACTACTAATTTTAAAATTAATTTTAGCCATGTTTCAAGTGCTGCTGTGCCACCACGTATAACATGATTACAGGGTCAGAATAGATCAATGGTTTAGTTTCCTCTTTTGCTTTCTGTTGTATCAGCGCACAGAGACCCCCAGCTTAATGAGCTATATAAATCTAATTACTTACAAATTACATACATATTACATACATACATAATAGTATTTTAGATTCTTGAGATATTGCAGTAATCAGTTACTGTATATTCATATCGTATTTGACACTCCAATAAAGTCTATTCCCCGAAGCTACCCATATTTTTGAATCATAATTTAAATAGTTGTTTATCCTTCAATCTTGCCATCTCTCAAATGACTCACATATTCGGAAACATAAATACGCAAAACAAACTAATTAATCATTTTCCCCATGTTAGAGAGTTTTAATTGAACAGTAAATATCATTTCTTTCAATGAGAACTGAAAATACTAGATTTACTTATTTTATCAAATTACATATCAATAAAATAGCATTAATGATTAGAGGTTTATAGAACTTCAATAA